GCAGGTGAAACCTGCCCTCCCCGCGTGCTGCGCTGGAGGCTCCCTGCGCCGCGCGGGTGCCTGGAAGCGTGCAAGCGTACGTGCTGCCAGCCTGCGCCGGGCACGGCCCTGACCCTCCTGCCCACGCTCGCTTGAAAGCAAACCAAGCCGAAGCCCGCGCGCGCACCGCGCCGCCGGCTCTTTGCCTCTTGTCCCCAACTTCGGAGCAGGCCGGTTTTTCTCCCAGGAAAACAAGCGTGGGGGAGTCGTCCCGGACCACTCGACTGCGCGCACACGGCCTTCACCTCGCAGGCAGCGGTTCCCAAACGCTGACAGATTGCGCGCCCCCCCGTTTAAAACGGCGCAACCTCAAGTACAGGCAGTCCTCGGGCTTACGGCACAGTTGGCTCCTGAAAACCACGTCGTAAGTCGAAACGTTGCAAGTTGAGGGCTGCCTGCACCGCCGCCGATTTAAAACGGTGCCACCTCAAGCATGGGCAGCCGGTGCCTCCCAAGTGTGGGGGCACCTGATCACCGACGGGGAAGGGTCCCCCAGCGGCCGATCGCCAAACCCAAAATCACCAGTGGCAAAAACAGAAATGCACGTCCACCAGCACTTCCAGCTTCAGGGCTGGCGTTTCCACAGGGTGCACGTGCACCCCCCACACGTCGCCAATGATCTTAAGCACCGCCACCCGTTTAAAACCGCACAACCTGACGTACCACCAGCAAACTTTTCATCCCGCCACGTACGACTGACAGGTTGTGTCTGTACCACTGGGGGTACACGTGCCACAGATTGGGAACCGCTGCTCTAAGGCACAGACATGCCCCTGCCCGGGGCCTGGCTTCCTACCTCTCTGCTCATCCGTGAAAGGAGCCCACAAATGCTTTTGAAAGCGGTTGCATCTTGGTGCTTGGAGAGCTCAGGGCTAGTTATAAGAGGGGGGCAAAAGTTAGAGGGGAGCAAAGCTGTCAGTGAAAACCAGAGTGAAGTAGCGAGCCCTGTTAGTTGGCAGAGGCTAACTTGCCGTGACGAACAACTGAAGACCGCGCTCACGGTGCTCTCTGGCCAGCGCAGAAATGTGCAGCGTAGTCCCTTCAAGGTCATGGGTTTGGGAGTGAGAAAGAAGGCTGACGTCTTGCTCAGAGTACGCGCTCGTCCATACGTGAAGTCGGCGACGCTCCTTAGCTGCACAGCATTATCCGTGCTGTGATATCGGTAACCCCAAAGCTGACTAGTTCTCATCTTCCAGGCTTTGTTTCTGGGCCGCTGTTAGAAAGCCTTGAAAAGGAGGAGTTAATTTCAGGGCTGCTAATCCCACAGCACCAAGAGCACTATGTGCATATTTAAGGAGCGCTGTTAACAGTGCTCTTGTTGCTTTGGTATTAGTAACCCCAACACTGATTACGCTCCCATCGTTTTGAAGGCTGCTAATAACAGCCATCTGACAGCTGGTTCTCTTGCAGTAAACAGTGCATGTAGTTACAAAATAAAAGCAGGAGCAGGTAGATGAGATTCTGTGCACTTAACCAAAATGCACATAACCTGTGTTTTGTTGTACGGGACTAGTGGGGTGTTACACAGCAAAGTGAATTACGTATGTAGCTGGATGGTGAGAGTGCAGTACTTTATTTTTAATTGCAAACTAATTTCCTCAGATGCTTCAAAATCACTTGTCCTTTCCATAGACTCTATCCATGTTAGGCTTCTAGTTAAATTAACTTGTTCCTGAGGGTAAGTGGAAAAAGAAGTGTTGCGACTATTTTTTAAAGGGGCATCTGCATAATTTTCCCACTTGTAGTGAAACGGCACATTAATTTTGTTGCAGTCGTTTTTTTCTTAAGAAGCTCAGCATTGTACGCACAGAAATCTTTATAAAACGAGGTGTAGAAATTGCTAGACTATTGTGCATATCCAAGTGTCAGCTCAGTCCCTGGATAGCCTATTGTGATATGGGATGCTGATCACCAGGGATCCTGGTTTTCCCTGATAAAAAAAATTGCAAATTCTCTGACAAAACCCCCCAAATCCTTTATTAAAACTAAAAGCCCCCTGCAGCACCTCCTAGTCCTGCTGGTGCCCCTCCCCCCCCCCCAATGCTGCCCCCAGCCCTGCTAGTGCCTCTCACTGCCCCCAAAGCCCACCCTGCTGGTGCCCTTCACTGCCCCCAATGCCTCCCCCATCCTTGCTGCTGCCCCCACAGCCTCCCCAATCCTGCTGGTGACCCTCACTCCCCCCACAACAGCCCCTCTGCCCCACCTGCCACAGAAGCATCATGGGGCCGGCTCCCCCACTGCTACTGCCTGCTCGGGTAGGGCTGGAGCCAGCACCTGGCTCCCCCCAGCCATGATCTGCAACCCCCCAGCCCTGCCAGAAAGGCCCCCAGCCCCCTGCAAGCCCCACTTACCTCAGGGTCCAGGAGAAGAGTGAGGCGGAGCTGTGGCTGTGTGGGAGCCCTCCTCCTCTGGGCAGGGCTGGGGGTTTCCCACCCTGTTTGCAAACAGCTCTTACAGGCTGGAGCTCAACCAGCCTGCAGAGCTGTTTGCAACAGCATGGAATCCACGTTTTTCTCTGTTTTTCCATGGAAAACGGAAAACCTGGATCGCTGCTGATCACATTTAACTGAAAGAATATAGGCAGAATAACAAGCACTTTCTAGACATTACAGTTCCTGACCTCTGATGCCTTTAAAGTTTTGATAATTTGTGTGAGAGAGGTGGAGATAGATGCATGATTATCATCACTGTTTTGCTGCCAGCATTAGGTCCTTTTAAAGCAATTACTGCTAAGTTGCATTACCTCTGAATTAGAAATTGATATTGCCAAGTTAGTCATGGAGCACATTTTCCACTTTATTTTTTTTTATTTAGGCAACTTATGGCTAAAGAACCACTGGAAAAACTCGGATTTAAAGACCTAATAGATGAGAAACCAGAAGGGGAGCATCAGAAGTTAAAGTGAAGACAAAAGACAACTCTCGCCGCCTCTTACGGAAATTATAACTATTGTAGTACATATTGTACATTTACGAAATACTCTCTGAAGCAAAGAAAAAAACTCTGAAACTTTCCACTCTAAAGTAAGATTTGTGAAAGAAGCAAATTGTTATCGTTATCTCCTTTCGTTAACTTTCTCAAGAAACATGTGACTAATTGACTGACATCATCTTAAAGAGCCATAAGAATGAATTTGCATTTGGGAAAACAATTGCCACTTAAGTATTTGTCCTTTCTCAGTTAAAGAGGAGTAAATCTTTGGAATAATAATAATAGCTCCCCTGTGCACACAAGGTGAGGTCTATTTTCTGGGATAATTGTGTTACAAGATTAAAAAATGAGAAGTCTGTATTTCCATAGATTACAAATGCATTTGTTCTTCCCTTCCTTAGCTCTCTGTAACTGAACAGTAAGACATGAACAATAAAATTAATGTTATTGTTTAAAACTCACAATGCAGTTTGTCTTTACAGTTGACCATAGCGCAGGTTTTAAGAAGAGGCTTACGACACCTATGTACAAATCAGTTGGAAATATAATGCTTAGACGTCTGGCTTTGGTGCGCACACATTATTGTTTTAGTCTCCTTAGGATTTCTCCTCTTTCTCTCACTGTGGAGGTAGGGACCACCTGGGGCCCAGTTGTGCAGTCTTTTTCCCTTGCACTGTCACCTGAATGCCAGAAGTTATCATCATTTTCTTAGACAAGCTGTATATTTGCTCTCTGGGGGGGGTACTCATACTGTTGTTAAACCAATATTCATGTACTTTAGTTTCTCTGTTTCTTCTTTTCAGTTCACATTCTGTATTTGATACTTGTTTCACCTTCTGTTTCTGCCACTCGTAGTCCTTATCTCCATACCCCTGTTTCTGGATTTTCTATACTTCTGCTTCTTTCACTGTACGTTTATTTGCTGCTTCTGCCCTTTTCAGATGCCCCCAGGTCTGTTTACATTCTTCCAATACATTTATATGATGATGGACAGTGCTGGGGTAAAAAAAACAAACCCAACCAGTGTCCCTGATTGGTTTTGAACAGACTATAAATAATCCAAAGGGGTCTTTCTTCAACAAGTGACTGTTCACTTGCTGCTACATTTTATTTCCACTTCCTTCCACTGTTTAAATCATACCCTTTAGTCAGATTAATACATTTATAGAAAAGAAAGCAGAAATTTTATTACTGAAACAGATATTAAAGCATTTTATATTAAGCCACTGAACAAGAGATTTTTCAGAATAATACCGTGAGTGAAAATATTTTAATAATCTCCAGTATCGTCACAAGAAAGAAATCAAATTTCATGCTTCCTTGCTCCCTCAATATTATAAGGTGAAGAGAGTCCCCCTGAGGCCAGAAAAGAACCCACCAGTGATAGAAGAATCCAGACCTTTCTTGTTGGAAGTTGGTTTAGGCTGCTAGATCTTATCCTGCATACTAATTGGAGAAAGAGTTATTCCACAGTTTAATTGTATTAGAAAAGCCACATATCAGATGCTGCTTCCGTAACTTTGGAAGTTAGAGAGCCAGAGAAATAACATTATGAAAGTCCTGGATGGTTGAATTTCAGTTGATGAGCTGGAATGATAAAATGCTGCTTAATTTCAGCTTCTCACATGACATGCGTGTTGTTCAAAGAGAGGTGACTGGAGCCTTTCTTTGATTTATGATCTTTGAAGCCTGAATCCCCTGCCAGCTACGGACCAAAAGCAGTTTGCATAGCTGTGTAGAGCTCCTGAGAAAGCAGCTCCCTGTGCACCGCAGGTACGTCTGCAGTGGATTCCTTTTGTTTTGCAGCAAAACTGCTGTTGCCTTGGCTGGGGGGGTCCCCTCATGGCAAGGAATGACTCTACTGTTGGTGCTCAACCTTTTGGCCCTATGGGCCAAATGAGTAGCGCAGGGCTAGTCCCTGAGCCTGATGGGACCCTGGGGTCCTGCATCACTTCCAGCTGCCGGAATCAGACCCTGGCTTGAGCCTGAGTGCCTGGATGAGGCTGCTGGGCCCCATGCCACCCCCACCCAGTCCCATGTGCTAGGATTGGGCCCCACGCCACCCTGCGTGCCTGGGGCTCCCCATGGGCAGGATAACGTGGCACCAGGGGCTAGGTCTGGTTGAGCACACCTGGGACTAAGACACAAAACCCCTGAGATGGATGGGAACAGCATGCTGGTCCCTCAGCACCAAATGAAGAAGCAGCTGCAGCTCCACAACAAAACCGTCAACCCAGGCTTTTGAACAGCCCCAGCTGACACCAAGGCATCCTGCCCACCTTCTCCAGTTTGCCCATGGTCTTGTGCTACCCTCACAGAAAGGTCAGTAAGCTCCACAACTGGGTCCCCTTCCATCTTAGGACTATGTGGAGGGCTGTGTGGGTGAGGAAGGGTGGACAGAAGATGACTAGGGATGAGAGGTGCATCTTGTCTAGCTCTGGAGACCGGATAGAAAAGGAAACCAAATCTGTGCTGCTGCCCAGTCCAGAAGATGGGTCCCAGGGCAGCCTTGTCCAGAGGAAGTTGTCCTACAACACCCAGCCCTCCCACAGCTCCGAGCTTGGGTGGATGCCTGGGGTGAGCCAGTGCCTCCAGGGAAAGGCCTCTCTTGCTGTGGAGTAAACAGAGGAATCCTGCAGGTGAAACCTGGAATTATTTCATTTCTGCAGATGAAGAGGGAACGATCCAGGTTGTACTTCACCCCGGCAAAACCCTTTTACATCAGCTTTTGGGGACTCATGCCTCCCAGAGTTACTTTGAGATGACTGCAGCATATGAATCAAAGTCAATGTATGAGCAAGTGGGTTTATTCTGTTGCTCTACCAGCACATGAACATCAAGGAGGAGACTGTCTCTGGGCTGCATGCTTAATTGAGCGTATGTTCTGCAGCTGCTGGGCTGAGTGGACGGGTGGTTGTTTCTCAAAGTTAGTTTCCTGTTGCAGTTGGTTGGAGTTAATGACCCATTGTGCCCTCCATGGCATGAGAACCAAGGTGAATCCCCAGGCTTTCACTTCCATGTAAGTCTTAATGTACCGGGGCCTCTACCTTCTGCTCACCCACAAAAGCTGTAGTAAGGCACCACCTAGTGGAACACTGTTGGAGGAAGCTCTGGAAATGCTAATGCTTGTTTAATAAGGTTCATATTCAAAGTTCAAACTGCTGGACTAAATGAAAGGCAGCTGGTATTAAAGAGAGAGCTAGACAGGAGAAAGGACTATGTGTATAGGAATAACGCTCCATGTAAGCCTTTGGGTGCAGTAATGAAAATCAAGCTATTCATGTAAGTCCTGGGCAGTCGGAATCTCTCCATGTCTGCAGTCTGGGGGTGGGGGTTTCTATCCGGGGTCACTTGCATGATAAATCCAGATGTTCTGCTGGTTACTTGTGTTCCTGTGAACCTCCCAGGGGTCCCAGGCCGATCATACTCTGATCCTGAGGAACCTGCCTTGCTCCAGGAAAATATCTTCATTGTGATGAGAATGGAACACTTTTAATTTGTACATAGGAGAGATTTATGGAAAGTGAGTCCTGCCCTGATCTCACCTGAATTGTCTTGCTGTGTGACCTTGACCTCTTGCCACTGTAGTTTATCCATCTGTGTCAGTGGGCTGGAACAATGCAAGTCCAGTCTGTCACGGGCAGGTGGCTTCTACAGCACATCAGTGGTGGGGTCTTTGCCTGTGCCCATACCAGGACCAGACAGCTAAGAACTGTGCCCATGTCGCTGCTACTCCCCCAGCCCCCTGTTCTCCAGCTGGAATGAGGCACAGCTTCCAGCTGGTGGGGAGCTTTGTTGGGGTCAGGCAGCCAGAAACTGCCCTCACTGTAGTCACATCTGCACCACAGGGGGATGGGGAAGAGGCAGTATCATGGATGCAACTTCTAGCTGGCTGTCCCCCGGCGCAACTCTCCACTGTCTGGAAGCTGCACCCACAGTGCACCCAGGGGGAGGATAGGAGGTAGGGGGAAGAAGCAACAGTGGTGAGGGCACAGCTGGAAGTTGCCCAGCCCTGGCACAACTCCTTGCTGCTTATCCCCAGCATGGGCACAGAAAATGCTGTATTAGTCAGTAGTCATCAATGAGGTGAGTCCGTGGACTTAACTGCACCAATTCAGGCACATCAGTTTTTGCCTCTGATCTAACAGCGCACAGAGGGTGGACAGTCTCCCCACTGCCCTGGGGAGCCCATGTACCTTTGTTAAAAGAAAGGAGCAACAGTTCAGGAGCTGGCCTGGGGAGTCCTGGCGCCTTCTAATCCATTTTAACCCCGTGTCTGCTTCTGATCTCACTTAGGCCCGTGTCAGCCCAGGAGGCCATGCTAGAAGGCAGTTGCAGAGCCATAAATGCTCTGGGAGATCGAAGTTGGGTAGCTTGACTAAACTTCCCCAGGCTTTTTGGCTGCTTGCAGACATTGGGGAAAAAAAAAGGCACTTTACTTTAAACTCAGTGCACCAAGCCCTGCATATGCACAGGAGAGGCAGTTCCTTGGACCCAGCTTGCCTGATGTCTGTAAAGATTAGGTGTTTTAGTGGGGCTTCTTTGGTGCTTTTTTGTAATAGGTGATTAAATCAGCTTTAGCTAAAAGCTCCAAAAAGCCCCACTAAAGCACCTGATTTTTACAAACACTGGAGCCGGGTCCAATTACCACACTGCTTCTTCCAGTAAAGTGTTTTTTGGGGGAGAGGAGGCAGGGGTTGTTTTTTTTTAACATCTGCAAGCAGCCTTTGTCTTCCAGGTTATAGCAAGCTCTGGCAGCACCACCCCTTCCTGGGTCCTGCCATATGGGACATGGCATAAAAACAAGCCCATCAGAAAAGCCTCTCTTTGCTATGGGCAAAATCCTGGACTCCGACTGCCCACTGACTTGGTAGGGGCCAATCCTGCCCTAGCCCTGCAAGCACACAGGGCTCTGGTCACAGCAGAATCAAGGCAGTTCTGCTTAGGAAAAGAGGGTTTGGAGGGGCCAGCATAGGGGGTCAACACCTTGGCTTGCCACGGCCATCATTCAGGGTCCACTGTGTGCCCAGTCCTTCCTGTTCACAGACAGTGTTGATGCGTGGCTGGCGTGCAAGTTATCAGGGGAAGGATTTTGTTCTTGCGTTCTGCATTGTGCAGAAGCAGCGCTGAGAAAACTATTAATAATGCAGTATGCTGAAACGAACAGGAAGCGATCATCGTTAGCGAAGAAAGGTGAAGCTGCAATTAATAAACATGTACAGGAAATGTCAATCAGCTTAACAGGGCGGGTTCAGCCCAATTGCTTTCCTTTACCTGCTTTAGCAGAAGCCCCTTTTGGAGATGCTCTCTTGGCTGATCCTTGGCTTTGACTTAGGAGTTTGGTTTCTGTAGATGGCTGGGCGAATGGTAGAGGAAGGTGCAGTCACCCTTTGAATTCCCCACGCCTTACCGTGTCCTAGCTGCCGACAGGAGGCACGCTCCCTGGAGCTCAGCGTATACATAGCACACATGCTGAGATGTACAAGAGGGCAGAGGCAGCATCAATGTGTGGTTGTGTATTTCTCTTGTGCCATGTTTAGCAATTCAACGTGCCTCGATCTGTCTCATCTCAATGGGCATTTATCCCAGGCCCACTGCTGTTGTGCCCGTACTTCCATCCCAATCCCAGGTGGTCTGTGTGCAGGAGAGCACCTAGTGGTTCTGGGGGGCCTTGGATAGCACCAGTCTTACCAAGTGGTGCGCACACAGCTGAGCTCAGCCCTGCCCTTCCCTTCCTGAGCTGGCAGGGCCTGGTAATGCAGCAGCTGGCATGGCTTCAGCTGGAGAACTAGAAGAATAACACCAGGGAAATGAGGGGTGGGAGGATTCCTCCTCAGGAGGGATCGGAGTGGGAGGAACCAGCTGTTTCAGGGAACCCTCTGCCTTGACTCTCAAATATTCGTTGCAGTCAGTTTGGGGGTAACAATGCCTCAGGTCATGGGATAATTCCCAGCAGAGAGAGATGTGGATGGATGGCTTCCTTTGGGCTGCCTCCACGCTTGCATAAATGATGGTTGTTTATTGAAACCTGACCTGGCTAGTATTTTAAATCACTCTAGCACTAATAGCTGGGCTGCTTGGCAGGGTAAATCACTCTTGCTGTACTAACAATGTGGGCTGACTGGTGTACTAAGCCCACTCTTGCGGTAATCACTTAGGCTGGCTGGGAGCTTCTTTTCTGGCCTGGTTGACTTGATTGAAGTGCTGTTGCAGAAGTTACCACTGCCCAATCTACTAAAACACCTCTGGAAATGGCTGCTTTCTTTGTTTCTTTCATGCCATTTTCAAGGCTGGCTTGGATTGCTTTCATATAACCTGCTATAAACTGGTTATTTGAGCCCAAGCGTGATTTGTCTGCAGCTTCTCCTGGTGGTGTTTTCATGTTGCAATATGGCTATGGAACAGTGCTGTTCCATTGTTGCTAGAAATAATTATGCTTAGTTAATTATGGCTGATTTGGACAATAAGTGTACAGCAAATCTTTCTGGTCCTATACCTTCTGGTACAGTGGGCACTTTATAGAGCCTTTCTAATGATATCCAAATTCACTTGCCATCAGGATCTGAGAAAGGAAGCTCTGGTTGAGCAACTCTTTCCATAAAGAAAAAAGAAAAAAAAAAGTAGAGAACAGACGGTTGCCCTTTTCCAGCTGGCTCTGCTTGGGCTTTTCTCTGCCTGTCACTTTTACAGGCCCTGTCTAGAAAAGCACCACTCCTGACATTTCTTATGGTGCTTTCATACCACGCACAACATGACCACGCACCGTCTCCAGGGGTGCGCTAGGGCGTGCCAATGTGTAGCCACAGCAGGTGACGTGGGCTTGAATCGGACCTTCCATTCAGTATAAGGAACTTTGCGGGAAGACAGGCTGTCCTTATTGCAAGGATTTACCTTCGGTACTCTGCGCCCACTTTGTTAGAAAGCTGTTCCCCGTCCTAGGATATGACGGCTCCGATTCATAGACTGCAAAGCCAGAATGGACTTTGCTGCTGCTTTTCTTTTCTTTCTCAGTTGCAGAATAACCCCCTTGGGGTCTTGCCTGCAGGTGGCATTATCTGTCCCGTGTCCTACAGCATCACTTACATAGCATGCAACAGCTACAGGCCAAACTGCCTGCAGTGCTGAGCTTCGGGTGGGCTTGCTTTCACTTTCATCTCCGAAATGCAGCAGGTTGCTGTGCTGTGCCGTGCAGTTCACCAGCTCCGGTGTCCTGGAACCGTTCCCAGAAGGATGTGCATTTGAACAGATAAAATTACTGAAAGTGAGCAAGAGCCATCTCCATGATAATTGTTTGCCCTGCAGCCTGTGTGCCCTGAGAACCT